GTGCCATCACCCCAACTGACGTGATTTATTTTTTGTACAGAATGGAGGTCTCACATGTTGCCGTCTTGAACTCCTGGGCTCAAGTGATCCTCCTGCCTCGGCCCCCCAAAGTGCTGGGATTATGGGCATGAGCTACTGCACCTGGCTTTATATGCATTTTAAGTGGGGGCATTTCAACATAAGTAAAGGAAGAAGTGGCCAGGAGGCTGCAGCACGTGGGGACCCCCAGCTCATCCCTCCTGCTCCCACTCTGGCCAAGGCCACGGCTCTGCCTCCCCCACCCACCTGGGCCCCGGGTCGCGTGTGTCCTGACTCATCTGTCCTGAGTGTCCCTGGGCTCCTTCCTCACTGTTCAGGTCCAGATCCCATGGGGGGGCTGGAGGGCAGTGTGGGTTGGTGGGTCCCATCCCCAGGAGCAGTGGAGTGGGGACACCTGTGCGTGCCTGTCCCCCACCCCAGCTGCAGCTGCACAGTCCCCAAGAGCCTCTGTACCCTGTGCGGGCTGGGGACATGGCAGGCAGGGTCCTGGCCAGCCGTCAGCTCCCAGTGCGGGGTGGGGACATGGCAGGCAGGGTCCTGGCCAGCCGTCAGCTCCCAAGGCCACATAGCTGGGACCACGGGTCACTCAGGCCACTCAGGCTCGTGGCCGCCACGCCCTTTCCCCCCTCTGCCCCGGCCAGCTTATAGCTAGGGGCTGCCCCCGAGGCTCTAGTACCATCTTCTCTAGGGCCCTCCTGGACCTGCCCCCTTGACTTCTAAGCCTTTCGCTGCCCTTAGGACGCAGGCCTCTTTGGGTCCTGCGACCCCAGGTTCGTTTCCTATCCTCCAAGGATGCTCCGGGCTGCTCCCACCAACTCCTAGGCTGTTTGCTTAATTGTCGCCCTCAGAGTGAGGCCCTCCCGGCCTCAGTATCAGTAATAATAATAACTCCTTAGCCGCTGGTGTGTGTACTTTACTTATGTTAAAACTTGACTCTTTTCCCTAAACTCTCCAGCCTCCTCCCCTAGTCAGCTGCTACAGGCAGGAATTTGTTTGTTTTGTTCAGCTGTTCCCGCGGGCCTGGTGGGCGCTGGCTGGCAGGAGAAGCCCATGTGCGTGCAGAGGTGGGTGTGTCTCATCCAGACCAGGCCACGCCCCATCCTGGCTGGTGCCTGCCCACCCCTCTGTCCCCAGACAATCTTCTAGAATGAGCAAAGGGCCTGGACAGGCGATTCATTCAAGAAAGAGGAATGTAGGGGCCCCGCCAGCATGGATTGTGTGCTTGGCCTGGTCCTTGCGCTCAAGAAGGCTCTTCCTTTTGTCATGGGACCCATACTCTAAACGTCCTCAATTACATACAGGATCAGAGACGGCAAGTCATTTGCCCACGGCTCCACAGTTGCCTGACCCCAAGCCCGTGCTGTAAACACACATGCTGCAGTCATCAGTGCGGTGGAATTAAAAACAGCCACGAGGCACCCTTTCCCTGTGCATTTTGGGGAACTTGCCCTCCACCTGGCAGCCTCAATCCAAAATTTCTCCCTCCCCCGTTTCCCAGTTGCTGAGAAAGGGCTCCACCACCCACGCTGCCGCCCACTCCAGGAACCCGGTGTCCCTGCCCATGCTCCGCCTTGAGGTTCAGCCTCCATCAGTTCTCATCAGGCCCTAGGCCCAGTCTTGCCCTCTGATGCCACATGCTTGGCTCCAGGGCCCAGGTGTGCTGGCACCTGTGTGC